ATAATCTTACTTCTTTGTTTTAAATTCCTTGCATCTTCTAGGTTCTCAACTGGGGATACACCTCAGACACACCCTTGAAGTTTTAGAAAAATACATTTGCCCAGGCCAAGTCCAGATACACTAAATCTGTTTACTTGATATTCTGGACATCTGCTTGCTGTACTGTGCTGATTACTGCATGTTGTATCTCAAGACCTTCCCTCCATAAAAATTCTGTCCACTTATTTTCATAAATCAGACATAACCTTAACTGGCTCCTCTGAAAACAGGCTTATTACTCACTGTTCTTACAGACATCTTGTTTGAACATCTTTATCATCTGTTCTTGGTTTTTCCATCTAAAAACTAAGCAAATGGACTTGATGATTTCTGTGTCGGTTCCATAGTCTTACGGCTCGGAGACGTCCTGAAAATACTTCTTCTGCTATTACAGGCAAGCAATATTTGCCACCCCAAAATGTGTCTCTTTGGCATGAGGATGTATTTAGGCTGATTATTTATAAGAAACCAAGACAGGAAGTTTTTCTCGTCCCTCCTCTGTATCTGCCTAAAGGAATTTAGACAGAGGGCCTGCCCCCAGAAGACAGCTACGGCCAGAGACATCTGCAAAGAGTACCTGCCAGGTGTGGGGGGAAAACCAGGCAGGGCCTGGACATCAGAGGCACTCTGTGCCCCCTTGTCCTGCCTGGCCCAGCAAGCATCTGTTTACCAAGCATTCGCTGTTCTGTCTCCATGCGAACTGCTTTCCTCCTCTCTGAGGTCCCAAACCACTACCCTCAACGTCCTCTTTTCCTCTTTTGTCTTCAGCTGAAGATGGTGGGTGAGGGCTTCAGCCGTTCTGGCCACTTACCAGTTTTCCTGGGTCCCTCCCATGGTATTAAACTTTGGTTTGATTTTCTCCTGTTGGTCTGTCTCATGTCAATGTAATTCTTAGACCAGCCAGAAGAACTTAGGGGGTAGAGGAAAGTTTCCTCCTTCCTGACACTATAAAATTATAAATCTTCCTGGAAGTCTATAAAGCAGTGACATTCTCAAACTTGTTACTGAACTGTAAAAGCAACAGTCTACATAAAGCAGTTTCATCCAGTCCTCATCACAAATTAATAAACATTCATGGCCTTACAACATAGCAATAAAACAACTGGCTCACATTTGTGGAGCGCTTTCTGTGCGGCAGGTGCTACACTCTATGGACTTCAGAGCATTCGTTCTGATTCTAATTTTGTCAGATTAGTAAAATCAGCCCTATTTTGCAAATGAGGAATTAAGACAGACTCTGTATCTTGCTTTAAGCAACACTTCAGTCTGTAAACACAGAGCTACGACTCAAACACACATCTGTCCGATCCCAGAATTTGTAAGATTTTATTTCTGACCACTCTCTAAAAGTATATTACGCTCACAAAGATTGACTCCTCTCCCTCAAGAAACACAGACCAACCATGGCCTTAAAAGGCCAAAGGCATAGGCAAGCATCAACGCTCCAGAAAAGCGAACCGTGAAAACGACAAGTAGAAAGTAGGGGGAAATTTAAGTGTTGTGAAAAACGGTCTCAAGCTATTAAGTACAAATGTGAACAGGAAAATGAGAGCAATGGACAGCTGAGCTTGACAGCCCCAAAAAGAAACAAAATCACTCACTTTGTACAGAAGTGGTGACCCTCTCACAAATGTAATAGGAGATACTGCCATTATCAGCGTCATGGAAGGGAAGATTCGTTCTGCGTTAATCCTCTCAGCCACAGCCCTCAATGCATTTGCAAAACTTAAATCTGACAACAGCTAAATCTGTTTGGCAATCTCAAGTGCAGTCACACCTTTGTATTTTCTAGGGTTGCAAACACTCTCCTCTCTTCCTCACTCCCCAAAGTGCCTTTCCATCACTTGCGCGGAAGATAACTCACAATTTCTTGAAGAAACTCGGAGAGAAACTCACCCTCTCTTCTTTACCCTTCTCCACCCCATGCCCCCCCGAAACACCTTTACATGCAATCTCTTTCCCTCCTTTACACTTGTAAAAAAGATAATCAACAGAAACCGCCACCAAATCGAGCTGAGAGACCAGAAGGGGGAGCTCTCACACCCCGCAGCCACAGCGGAGCCCAAGGACACCGCCAACACGAAGCCAGGGCTCTTTGTTTACACAGCCCTCCTGACTTCCTCTTCTCCTCCAGGAAAGTGTTCCTCCCTTGCCCTGTGGGACTTGTACTTGGCCCGTCCTGGCTGCAGACTCCAAGCTGCAATTCTCTGCTGATCCTGAATACGCCCGCCTTTGCTGCGGAAACGTGTGCCAGTCTGTCCAGGTGGGCACACACACCCCCTTCTCACTCCTAATGGAGCCAACTCTTCCAGATCCTTCTCCTTCCTCAGCTGAACTACTGACTAATGCCCTTGCCTCCAGTTTCTCCCACAACCAGTCCACAATGGAATCACTTCCAAATTAACACTCCTTACACACTTATTTTGTTACATCACAGTCTCCTTAAGTCCATTTGAAGGACCAGCTCTTAGCAAGGCCTTTAATTGTTGCCAAGACCCGGCCCGATTAGCATTGATAGTTTCGTCTCCTACTCTCCTACACAAAAATCTCTGCTGTACCAAAAAAACAAACAATGACAGCTCCTGAAATGTGACCTGGGCTGTCCCGCTGGCTCCTCCACTGCCAAAACAAAGAAAAGCCCTGCAAAGCAGCACATGATGAACCAGTGCCCGTGGCAGAACCAAGGAGGAAAATGGGCCGGTATTATTTCTTTGGATTAAACAATAAAATACACTGCTTTCAAACTGTGAGGATACTATGAGGGAAAAACGTAATAAACTTTTTTTAAAAAGAGCTAAAACAAGTGAGTAGGGTTTGGCTCAGCATTCCAAGCAGAAAGAACAATGTAGCTTGCCTGTTAATAGCACATGCTTCTGAGTTAGACAAACTTGTCTTCAGACTCTCGCTCTGCCCCTTCTAAGCAGGGTGATACCTGAACAGTTTCTAACTCGAGCCTCGGTGTGGGGGATGACGCTGTGTCCTAGCAGGACTGGGGAGGCGTGAAGACAAAGCACCACAGAAGCAACTGGTACGGTGCCTAGTACGTGCAGGGAAGAGCTGAACGAAGAGCTCTGGTAGGATTACTACTGAAGCAGCCTCAGATCTAGTGAAAAGGCTGTTTAGGAAGAGGCAGACAATTAGCACAGGAAGCAGTAAAAGATGAGGAGGGTGCGAAATACACACAGGGTGCTCGTGTCATCCGTAGTGTCAGAAGCGTCACTGGAAAGCATACAGCAGAAGCACTCCGCAGGGCCCTGGCCGGACGAGCACGTGAAGCTGGTTTCTTTAGCTATAAAATGAAGAAGTTGGACAAAATGGTATCTCAAGCTTCTTCTAGCTCTAACCTTCAAAAGGACCATGAGAACTGCTGTGAACTGGAATCCTGGGGTTAGGAACACCACCGCCACGACACAGCTGACCACCTGTGTATCTCACTAAGGCTGTGAGGGCTTATTCATGTTCCACTGACCTCACAAGTCCGGGAAACAAAGCAACAGCTAAGAAATTCCTATCACCAGTTTATCACTCACAAAGAGGAACAGCAATAGTCTCACTGAAAAATTTACTGCAGCAGACCTCGACAAGGACACTAGCACCATTATGTGAACCCAGAGTCAGGAGCCCTCAGACCCCCTGGGAATTCTCAGAGGAAGCTGAAGAGGTAGAAATCACCAAAAAAAATAATAATAATAAATTTGGACAGGAGGTTAGACAAGAGAGAATTGGTAACACCAACAGAGGAACAGCATTTCAAATGGTAAAATGAGTCAGTAAGGCTCTAACTTCACCTGACTGGGGAACAAACCCAATTAAGCCTCCCATGTACAAATCACACCTTCTTGTGGGGACTTGGTTTACATACTTAAGACATGTATAAACCTGTTCTTTCTCTAAATGGCTAAAGCAAGCTAAGAGCACATACTCTCTTCTTATGTGAAACGACAGTCAAGGATTGCACTAGATCTAATTAATACTTAACATGCTCCTTCAAATCACCTTTACAGTGAAATTTCCTAATCTCATATACTGATTTTCATGAGTAGAAACTTAACTCTTCCACGGCAAAATCACATGTGTCTGCATATTTATTTCTGAATGAACTGCTTTAAATGAATGCTTTTATCAGCTTTCATTTTTGTAAATTATGATAATCATATCTGTGAACTTAAAGTTTGTAATGTTATCATTTTATAATTTTAACAGTGACAAGACTGTTTTATTCCATTTCTTTGCAGATAAAAAAAGATATCCAGAAAAAGTGCTTATTTATATAATAATTTAAATTTGTACCATTAACTATATAATTCACTTCAAAATGATAAATCCATAATGCAAATTATAAAAGTTTTTCTACTGACATATATGTCATGTCAAAATAACTCATTTCAGTCACACCAAATACTTAAAGAACTAGAGAAGAGCATAATTTAAAATGCAAAGACAGTAAATTCATTCCAAAGTCTCCCCTTTTAAGAAAATAAGCTACAGACAATAATTATTATAAATAATAAAATATTGTCAACTCCACTTATACATGCGAATAATTCCACTATTACTGTGACAAGGATTCACAGCAGTTACTACTAACTTCTCACTTTCTTCCTCACAGAGCTTACAGAGGAACACACAACAGACTATGGTATCATCAAGGCTTTGTGAAGGGGAAACGTATAAATGTTTCCAAATACATAGTCCACAAATAGACTAAAAGTGTAAAAATACGCTGAAACTGTAAACCTTCAGCTCTTATTAGTTTTAAGAAAAGGGCTTCTTCACCCCCGTCAACCTGGTAACTTTAAAAGATTTTCCATGTATTCTGCACACATGGCTTTTTATTCTCACAGCTGATCAAGACAAAATACTTATAGCAATTCATATGAAGTAGCAGTAGCAGTAACAGTAGTAACAATCATAATAACTCCAATTTTAAATTTTTTTTAAAAAAATTATGCGGTTCCAACCTGGTCTGCAAAGTCCTCTGGGAACTTCCACAACACCACCGGATCTGCAAATAATTGACAGGGCGTTAAACAGAGGAAGGAACACACCTTCAGCAACAGTCTTGTCAAAATACTCAAAACTGGCAGAGCTAATTTTAAAAATAATTTTTAATTTTTTTTAAATATTTACAGTTAATAAACTTCCAAATTAAGTATTTTGCCCTTTGAAGGGTTTTAATGACTTTTGGGAAACAAATAATAATAGCTTGGTCAGATTATTAAAAATCATTATCTCTTTTAGCAGCTCACTTTTTACATATCTTAGATTTTAAGATTCTGAAATATAAGTATATATATTTCCACTGAAGACACTGGCTTTCATTTGAAAAAATATATATAAATGGGGTAAATATGTAATCAAATATATTACAACCCTCAGAAAACAGACCAAAATACATCACTCCAAGTTTCCATTTAAAATCCTAAACAGACATTTTCCCAAAGAGGACATGCAGATGGCCAACAGGCACATGAAAAGATGCTCAACATCGTTAATCATCAGAGAAATGCAAATTAAAACCACAATGAGATATCACCTCACACCTGTCAGAATGGCCATCATCAAAAAGAACACAATAAATGTCCGCGAGGACTTGCAGAAAAGGGAACCCTCCCACACTGTTGGTGGGAATGTAAATTGATGCAGCCACCGTGGAAAACAGCACAGAGGTTTCTCAAAAAATTAAAAAGAGAACTACCATATTACCCAGCAATTCCACCCCTGGGTATATATCCAAAAAAAAATGAAAACATTTATTTGAAAAGATACAAGCACCCCAATGTTCATAGCAGCGTTACGTTTCATTCTGAAGATATGGAAGCAATCTAAGTGCCTATCAATGGAAGAACAGATAAAGAAGATGTGGTACACACACACAGACACACACACACACACACACACATACACTGAAAGAACACTCAGCCATGAAAAAGAATTAACTTTTGCCATTTGCAACCACATGAATGGACTTGGAGGACATTATGCTAAGAGAAACATCAGACAGAGGAAGACAAATACTGTATGATACCACTTACATGAGAAATTTAAAAAATAAAACAAACTAGTGAATATAACAAAAAAGACACAGATTCGTATATAAGAAACAAATTAGTAGTCATCAGTGGGGAGAGGGAAAGGAGGAGGGCCAAGACAGGGGCACGGGCCTAAGAGGAGCAAACTGTTATGTATGAACTAAGTAAGCCACGAGGATGTGCTGCACAACACACAGAACACAGCCAGTACTTTGTAGTAACTGTAAATGGAATACAACTTCTAAAATTGTGAATCAGTCTGTTGTACAACCTGTAACTTCCATTTATTATATATCAACTATATTTGAACTTAAAAAAATAAAATAAAATCCTAAATAAAAATTTATGAACACTGGAATAATGTTATTTTGTACCAAGGTTCACTTTTGAAATTTCATATTTGCAACTCCACACAGAAGTTTCTAAAATAATAGATAAGCTGGCAGGCATGAGGCATCAAGCTTACTTAAAATACAATTTCCAGGGCATTTCAGAGAAATTTTCCTAATATGTTACATCTAGTTATTCATGGATAAAGATCAATGTTGTTTTACAAATATTCCCGCTGGTTTTCCATTTCCATTACTCCTTCACAATATTTCTCTTCTACTTAACACAATAAAAGGAAGTCCTTTCAGTTAGCACTAATAAATATTTTGGTTGCATACTTACTTTTTAATTCTGTCAAAAACATACTTCTGAATACCGTAAATGTGCTTTAAAAGGATGGTGTGCCATGGGTGACGTTACTTATGAAACACCTCGGAAAGCCCAGTGTAAGTAACCAGTACCACCGACACCATAGGATTTGAATCCCACTCCAGGTAAAAGGCCTTGCTGGATCAAAGACATCACTTTATGTACCCAGTCGGTGAAAAATTACAGCTCAGCCCCACTCTCTCCACTATTCCATTCTGCTTTTTTAAAAATACAGTCTGAGGATGCATAACAAGTTTTTAATCCCCAAACTCAATAATTACATAGCAGCATTTTCAGCACAAGCCGGTTCCTCTTGCTGTATGATTTATTAAGCTCAAAAGACTTTTTTCCAAATATTTTAACTTGAAAAAAAAGAAAGCATGCTTTGTGCAATTAACCTTTTTACTTACTAAGGAATAAAACATTTCTACATAAATTAATATAAAAATCATTTAAAATACCTTGTATAAGAAAACGCATTACAAATTTATGGAGGCAATATTAAATGACTATGCCTTCACGTAAAACAAAATGTACACTTTTCTACAATGAATGTGACATGCATTACAGACCATCTAAAATACTAAGACGTTAATGTCCTGTGGAAGATTATGTTGTAAATGTGTGTGTGTGTGTTTATGGGGCAGTTTTACCAAAATGGTAGTTATTAAGACTTGAATCTCATAAAACAAAAGTGTATGACGGAATCTTCATAAAATATTAAACAAAAGTTATTACCCTGATAAATTAATATTAACCAACGGTCCTATAAACAAATCATCAGACAGAAATGAAGAATAATTCTTTCTTATAAATAGCGGTGTTAAGGAGTTTCAATGTGAATATTTTAAACATCCCTTTTAAACAACCTCAATTTCACAGTTAGCATTTGAGAAACTGTGACAGATTTCTTACACTTGTGTCTTAAAACCAGGACGCTCCCCGGGCTGTGCGGCCTGTACAGGCTGCCCGCAGTGTCTGCAGCCCTTACCCAGTTACGTTGCTCTGCTGCATCCCCACTACACTGGTTTTCCCAGTACCGGCGGTTCTTCCACAAAGGATGAACAAGTGAACACATGAAATGCCATCCATGGCTTCATCATGTAGTGGAAGATATCCTGTTTCTTCTATCTTCACTAGATGAGTTTTACACTTCAGCACCCCCAAAATTTATTAAAATCATGTGCACCCATCTTTTGAAATGGATTCACTTAGTTGTTGCCTGTGTTGTTAGATTTACCCCATGTCTGACACATCTTTGCAGCAGCTTTTTACAAAGACTGTGGAGGAAGAAACAGAAGGACCCTGAAAAAAACAGTAATAATCCAATTCCCAAATTTATGCACAAAGACTGAAATTTTCTGTTCGCTGAGAATTACGTTCCAGATACGAGATCTGATCTGGCAAAGTCAGGGCGACTTCATGCTGGTTTTATGGGTGAAAGGGTGGGAACCCTGGCAGGAAGCCCCACTGCCCTGGACGGCTAACACACCATCTCTCCTCCCTCCGATGCCTCCCCGTAATGCAGGGGAGACACCACATCTTACTTCAGAAAGAAACTTTGCCACCAACAATCCAGAAACCAAATAAACATGAAAGGAAGTTTACATAACTTGACTTTTACATAAATGTAGTTAATCTCTTATCTTAATAAGAGAAAGCTGCAGTGCAGTGAGAAAAATACAGATTATCATTACATCAGCACACTTGGGAGGAGCGTATTTAATGACTTACTAGTGCATTACACACACGCATTCCAAGTTCCTGACTGAGGGTCTTTTTTAATGTAAAGTGAAAAAAGTTCAGTAATATTTTAATTTCCTTTACAATCAGACCTTTCACATTTTCTGGCCTGTAACTAAAAACAAAAATTAAAAAATTTAACATACTACTGTGATTTAAAGTACACTATTTTTTTACCGCAGGAAAAAAAAAACTCTTGATTTGCATAAATGAATAATATTTACTTAATTCTGTGGAATTCATAGATGAATATCTTTAAAATTACATACTTGTAAAAATCACAGTTCAGACACTATGTACTTTTGAAAAGGCAGACTATAGAATATTAGTATTTTGTTTGATTATAGCTTTCAGTGCTTATCCACCTATGTGGCAGAGCCAGAACTTCACGAATGAGGAAACTGAAGCCAAAACAATGAGGAGTATGTCTTAATTATAAGGCTAGTTCATGTCCGAAACTAGATCTCTGAGATCTGAGGACCAGCTATTTTAAGTAATTTCCAGGATCAATAAATTTCTCTGTCCCACTTAAGTTCAATTTATTTCATTTAAAAATCTATGCAGTGCTAAAGGCACAGGAAAAGTCCCTGCCCACCAAAGCCTTACAGAACACGTGGAGGAAAATGTCAGCGAGCTATCTACTTTTGTGCAAACAAGCTAGCCTGCAGGAACACCTGAACTCAACCTGAGAATTCACTGGCTTAATAATTTCAAAAAACGTTCCTAATGAGAGAATGGTGATGTCTCGTAAATACAAATGAGCAAGAATCATTCGAGAAAATATTCCATCTACAGAGATGGAATGGTGAACTAAACAAAGCTGTTCTTTACAACGTATAGAAAAGGAGGGCACCTGAATCTACAATGCAACACGATTTCACTGGTGTCAAGCTAAAGGCTCGGGATACCACAGGGCAGCAGCGCAAACCCAGTGTAACCCACACGGTCACTGCGCCACTTCACGGAGAAAAGCACGCGCAAACCACCGCCTCAGTAAGACAAGCAAAGGGTGATCTGAGGTACAGAGCGGGCAGAGGAGAACGTCCCAGGATGCAGAGACAGTGTGCATGAAGTCTCAGAGGTTAAAAGAAAGCAGAATCATTTTGGAAATTGAGAGAAAAGAAAAGTCACGTATCCAGAATGCAGAGTAGGAGAGAGGGAATGTCAAGGAGTGAAGCCGGAGAGCTGGGGACCGACTACAGAGCTCAGCGTGCATCCAAGGTGTCACAGGAAGCCACCAAACCGAGTGAGAAGGAAGGACCAGGAACATGTGAAGAAGACAGCCAGAGAGCGTGTTGTTACGAAAGTCAAGGGAAGAGAGTGCGTCAGAAATAATCCTCAAATGTGGCAAAACATTAAGGTGACAGCTGAAGAACGGCAATCGTATTCCACTTCCCTCCAGGGGAAGGAAGGGAATCTTCTTAAGAAGATTAGGGGGTGAGTATGAGGAAGGAAAGCCAGTGTTTGTATCTCAGAAAGACTGCGCGGGGAAGAAGAGAGCAGAGTAGGAGGAGAGAGGTGAGGCCAGGTG